CACTTAATCTTTACAAGGGTCGTGGGGGGGCTGGAGTCTATCCCAGCCGACTTAAAGGCAGGGGACACCCTGGACAGGTCACCAGTCTATCACAGGGCTACACTTAGAGACAGACAACCAAGCACACTCACATTCACACCTACGGACAATTTAGAATCACCAATTAATCTCAGCATGTTTTTGGACCTTATGGGAGGAAGCCAGAGAACCTGGAGAGAACCCACGCTGCACGGGGAGAACATGCAAACTCCACGCAGAAAGATCCCGGGTGTCCTCACCAGGATGCGAACCAGCGACCTTCTTACCGCGAGGCAACTATGCCCCGCCTTGCAGCTCCTGTTATGATCCAACCAAGCTCTTTATAAGCACACATGAGCATCATTACTGAATAACATTTGTGTCAGTTTAAAGGTAGAACAGGGCTAACACATGATCAAACAGAACCATGTTTTAGCTCGGGTGAACACAGGAGTGGGGCTTGAGTAGTGGGAAGGGGTGGGACAGCCTTCTGTAAAATCTGATTGGTCATGAGTTAGCAGTACTTAGCAGTAGCTTGTTAAGTTGTACGATGAAAAAAAAAAAGTACCAAAACAACTTCAAGAGATGCTCAGCAACTACAGAGCGATACAAAATGATCACAGCATCAAAATTACCAAATTTTGTTCTGCGAAATAAGTAGGAAGATGCAAAATGAGACATAAAACTAAAAAACAATGAGCACAAAGAGCTCAGGAGTGACTGTGGAAATGTATAGTGGGCACAAGAAGCTCAAGAAACAGGCCTTTACATTTCTAATGAACACATTTTCACCCGTTTCTTTCACCCTAATTTGCCCCTCTTCTTCTCTGACTCTCTCCACATCTGATTATCTTACATTCCACAGTTCCACTGTAGCCACTTTCATGCTCGCTGATGTGCAGCGCGAAGCCACTGACTGTGTGATTGTGTCCATTGTGCCCAAACTGTGCAAATATGTTTCTTCCCTGTATGTAGCACTTGCCAAGCTCTTAGGAGAAGAGAGCCTCTTTCTGTCACGTCGCCTCAGAGGCCAGACGAGAAGAATGAGTCCACAAGACCAGGAACGCAATCTATAATTGGTCTTCTCCTGCTGCTGCACAAAAAGCCAAGTGTTGTTGCATAAGAAGAATGAAGGTGGAGACAACAGGGGACACGGAGGAGACGGGCGCCATCCCCCTCGTTTGCGGAGCTTTTCAGGGAAAAGCTGCGGCGGGCCCAGTGTGTTTTATTGCTAATGCCTCAGTGACTTCCAAGGGCACTCAAAGGACTTCAATCATTGGATTTGCGCTGCACTTGCTCACTTCAGACCCAGAGGAGGCCTCAGAGGCGGGGAGGGAGAGCCCCTGAGAGAATGTTGTTAGTGCCCTTCTTTGGGCTGATTTAGCTGTTTTTCTTGTTCACCTCCTATTGAGTGTTGAGCAACGGCTAAACCAGCAAGACGAATGTGTGTTTAGAAAAAAAAAAAGGAGCGAGAGCAGAGAAGGGGGGGAAGGAGCAATGTTCCTTCTGTGTTCCTTGAAACCTGTGTGGAAAAGCAGCCGAGAGGACATCATATAAATCAGGTTACCAGTAGCAACAGCACTGGTAGCGCCTTAGATTGGCCCCTGATCTGCTCCCTGCTCATCTTCCACTCCTCAAACAGCGCTTTCTGTTCACCTTTCTTACCTTCAGATGTTTTCTTCAGTTCATCTTTTAACCCTCCTCATCATCAACCTCTATATCAAAGAGGAACAAATTCCTTAAGCTACGGAGCCCTTTCTTCCCGAGCAACAATGGGGCGCTTGTTGGCCTCGGCCTCAAAGACTCGAGGCCTGTTACCCAAGCATGCATACAGCAAAAGAGCAAAGAGTTATGGTGAGAGGAGAGAGGTTCGAAAGTGGACGGAAAGGGCAAGAACGTGAGAAAGTCAGAAGGAGACGGTGGAAGAGCAGGGCTTTGAGCGCAATCCTGCAAAGCTTCATTACATGTGAAATAGGTAATCCAGCCAGTAGGTGAGCACATTCCCATTAACCTGGCAGTGGGGAGAACTTCCTCCAGGCTTATTACTTCCTCTCCCTTTGCTGTTTGGACTATTGTTTAGCAGCAGTGTGAAGTCACACACACTGCAGCGCCAAGCCTGACCTCTGACATGGACAATGCTCGCTATTGTTTGTTCGTTTTTGCTTATTCAGAGCACGAGGTCGCTACAACTGGCGTGGTAATAGTAGAGCAAACGCATTGTGAAGTATTATGGAGTAATCCCTGGTAGATGGTCAGAGGTTGTTTTTTTTTTGTCTGCAACTGAAATTCAATTCTCTAGTCTGCGCTGAATTAAATAAAAATATGTTATGTTTCCCACTGACTTCATTAAATCCTTACATCTCGTCACTGACAGCGGTTTCCAGGTTGTCCGTCCATCCCAGTGTTCATCTGTCTCGAGAGAATTTCTTCAAATTTGGCACAAGTGCTCACTTAGACTCAAGTATAAAGGGATGAGGTTTTGGAGGTCAGAGGTCTAATGTCACTGTGACCGCTCAAAATACGCTGGTCGTCGAGTCGTGTGCTAATTATGACAAAATTTGACACAACTGTCTCATAAGACTTCATGATGACACTGTACACAAATCAGCCACAGCATTAAAACTGGCTGTCCAATGTTGTGTAGATCCCCCTCGTGCCAGCTCTGAGTTGTTGTCATAGGACTTTTGGGGTATCCTGTGGTGTCTGGCATTGGGATCCTTTGCATCTTGAGGGTTGTGGGGTAGTTCTTGCTCCACCACGTTCGCTCAGATTGGAACCCAGTGTGCTCTTGGTTGTGTTCCTCAAACCGTTCTTTAGTTGTTTTTGTGGTACAGCAGGGCACATTGTCCTGCTGATGGAGGTCGCTGCTGTCAAGGAGTGCCTTGAAATGCTATAGGGGGGTATTCTTAGTCTGCAACAATATTTAGGTAGGTGTCAAAGTAACATCCACATAAAAGGCCAGGAGCCAAGGCTACTCACACTATTCTGACTTTATCGACACATTCAAGAGCTTGTCATCAGCACATATCATAGATGCATTATCATCCATTCTGATCACTGATAAACAGAAAAAACAAACTCTGCTAACATGGACGACCCCTTGTGGATGTGTGAATATGTGCTTGTACCACACAAAATCCATTTTCAGCTTAAGGTCATGTGCTAACTATGACAAAATTTCACACAAGCATCTAATATAATGAAATGATGACCTGTTACAGGTTTGCAAATTTTGCACGCATTGGACAAAATGGAGTTTTGTATTGTGGTAAATGCAGCAACAGGGGGAATTTTCACCCAAACCATGCTCCTTTTGTGAACCTAACCAATTAGTTTTGGTGCCTAAACTCCACCAAACACTGACTGAAAAACAGCAAAAAGCAAACGTCAAAATAAGACTTTAATCAAGAATTAATCCTATAATTATACCACAATATGGTCGTCAAATCAAATCTCCAGAATGATTGTCCATGAACTTTCATTCTGTTCAGTTAGCTTTGGTTTAAGAAAAAAAAGCGTAGTTTGGGTTAAAATATGACCCTTTCACATCATGTTTGAAGCTTCTCCTCCATCTTCAGGGTTACCATGGTGACCCAGACTCCCACCAGATACACTATATAACTGGTTAGCGGAAAAGGAGCAAAAAAGATGTGTTAATTTGTGATTAAATACATACCTGAGAGTGCAGTATAGTTTTTTTAGGAGACAGGGCTGCCACATAAGGCATGTTTATTGACTTTCCTCGAGTTTTGTTGACTTATTTTACTGTATTGTGTCCCAATAATTTCATTAACATCCATCATTTATTTCCAAATTATCATTTTTTAAATGCTGTTGATGAAGCTTACTGAAGAGAACTTGCTTTTAGTTATTACAGCATGAAATCATCTGGATATAACAGAAAAAGGCTTTTAATAATAAAAATTCTAATCATCTCAGTTTACAGGAATGGCAGGTAGGTTCATACATCCTGTTGACTTTTTGTTTCTTTCTGTAAAAAAGGTGCAAATGCAACTGAATACTATAGATCCACCACTTCTGTACATATTTTATATACAGTTGGCTCGATGGAAGCTTACGTTACCTGAGTTTTATCCACTCTGTGCACATCTTCCTACTGTCTACTCTCCTCAACCTCCTACTTTGACTCATTCTACTGTCATTCAGCAGTGTACAGTTCCTCTGTAGCACCATCACACAGGTCATTAATCTGCTCGGGGACCAGCAGCAACACGTGATTGTTGATCTGTGCTATAAAGGGACAGCTGTGGGTTTCGTCTGCTTTGTTCCGAGGTATGAAGGGACTTGAGTTATGGCATCAAACTGTGTCAGTGTTCACACTTTAATGGACACATGCACACACAGATCGTGGCATACTTGAGTAGAAAAAAGGGAAAATGACACAAAAGTAGTCTGAAATGGAGGGAAACTGTCAGAACTTATACTTTTAAGCACTTGATTCTGTTACTATAAGAGGAAATACATGTTTTAATCTTCAACCGTCTTAGAAAACTGATACAATCACATATTTTTAGCATCTAATTTACTAGACATTTGCCAGAGTATCAGAGGAAAACTAGTGAGAATGCACTTTTAAGTTCACTTTGGCTGGTTTGTCCACTCAGCATGAGAGCTCCAGAGAGCAAAAAAAAAAAGTGTCAAGTGGAAAGACAACCTGTTGCTTTGCTGGAAGCAGAGAGAGCTTTTCCCAGCAGCGCACAGACAAGTGCGACTCCATGCATCAGCAGGCGTGATAATTACACACCCACTTCACACCATCACCCACATCTTGGATGCCCATCCCTGCGTAAAGACCCCCGGCACACTGCGTCTCTGCAGCGCCACGGATCCTACCTGCAACTTCTGCATCATTTAGTGACTCTTAAAACGGGATTTGAGGAGTTTTACGCATTGAATACGCGCACAGGATCCTCGTTTTTATAAAAGTTTATCCAGAGTAGGTTTTTTTTTTTTCTATCAGGATGGCCAACTCCGGGATCCAGCTGCTGGGGTTTTTCCTGTCGTTAATTGGCATCGTCGGGCTCATCATCGGGACTATTCTGCCGCAGTGGAAGATGTCTGCGTACATCGGGGACAACATCATCACAGCGGTGGCCATGTACCAGGGACTGTGGATGTCCTGCGCCTTCCAAAGCACCGGACAGCTCCAGTGTAAAATCTACGACTCCATTCTGCAGCTCGACAGTAAGTGGTGCAGGGGAGGCTTTCCAGGAAGGTTTTTTCAATGCAGTCTGTCAGTATGAAGGAGTTTTGATATCACAACTACAGAAAAATGAGGTGAACATTTAATGGAACATTAACATTTTTCTTGTCTCATCTGAAGTGCTGTCAGTCCTCACACAGTGTCTTATTCATGGATCCACCTGGACGCACACCTGCTCCTGCATCCTGAATGGAGCACACTGTTATCACTCAGTAGGTTTGTTTAGAAAAAAAAAAAAAAAAGACAAAGTCGTCTTCCAGCTGCCAGAAACTGTCCCATCCAAAAAACAAATAAATTCCATCATTAAAGTACAGTGTCTCACTAATTTTAACAACGCATAAACATTGTTTGAATATAAATAATCAAGATAAATCGTGGTGGAAAAAATACATTTGATTTTATTATATTAAAAAAAACTCTTGTAAAACTTATAATTCAGCTTAAAATATTTTTAAAATGTACTGTAAATAGTGCATCATTTTAAATGTGATGAAAGTTTTTACATGTAATTTTACATTTTTTTAAAAAAAATATTGATTTAAAAAAAAAAAGGAAGTATGTCCATCCTTTAAAATAATTAATTTAACTTTGGAAAAAAATGGAAAAACACCATTATTATTCATATACTTATAATTATAATCACATAAAGAGTTCTTTTTAAATAGTATCATGTATAATGTGAGTTTTTACACTTAACTTTGCATTAAAATCTTCTCTATTTCATAGACGTTATTTTCTGTTATTTTACTTGAGACGTGCAAAATCAACCTGCTTTTGTAATTTTGTTGATATTTTTCTGAGTTTCAAAAATGTGGAAAAAGTCTGAAAAATTTGAGGAAAATTATTTTATTTTATGTTTTTTTTCTTTACAGTGTACATCCTGTTTTTAATCATGCAGTCAGTCTATCACTATAGTGGTGTCTCCTTCATAAGGCCTCCTTTTATAAAGACATCTACAAATTTCCAAGAGTCTGCGAAGAAACCAAACCTCAGTTTGAAGGAAACCCCTCCCACCATCCTGCCACCTTCAGCGCTGCATTACACTCACATGCAGCAGATGACACATTGTCCAAGCATCAGTGCTGAAGCGGGTGGTGACAGAAAGTTTAGTTTCATTTGACACAAGCTGCTGAGTCACACCTTTTTGTCGACCCAGGAACAAACTGTACCTCTTTCTCAGTAGATATTCCATAAAATGATGCAAAACAAACCCTGCAAGCGCGTGTAGCGGTGACCATTGTAACCCATCGCAAACCAATGATTTATGATTAAAAACTACAAATTTGCCTCCTCAGGTGTTTTGTTCAGTAGAAAACATGTTCTTGCAGTTTCATGCATTGTGTTTGCAGCGTATAATAATGCTGAGCTGGAGCACTAAGCACAGAAAGGAGGCAAACTGACCCAAGATTCACAAAGGCCTATAATTAAATGGTGCAGATTCCTTAAAATGTTTTACCGCATTCAAACAAACAGATTTTTCCACCGGGCCCTAATGGACTGTGTGGTACATCTGTATCAGACTGTCCTGTATGCAACTTACACTCTCCATGTATTGGAAGCTATAAATCACACTTTGGAGCGTAATCATGCAACCAAACAGTTTTCTCAGCTCTTCGTCCCTTCAGTGGATTTCCACGACAGAACCAGATGTGCCACATTTATCAAACTGCAAAGCTACCGGACCCCGCTCGGCAGCAATAACGAGAGCAACGGCGAGTCCGGATACTGTGCATCCTGCTCTGCAATGACTGTATAATCCACCCTATTGTTTCCCATTTCTCACTGTTTTATATCCTCCGCATCCCCCTCCGTCCCTCTCCCTCCCCTCACTGCCGGAGGTTTTTTTTTGTTTGTTTGGGCAGGGCAGGGATGGCCTAGACTGGCACAGACTGGTTCTAGGTGGACACGGAGGGGGCGAGACAAAGAGGGGGTGATAGGTTTATAGGGTGAGGAGGGGGGTTGCTGACAGATGCGGGCCTCCACAGAGAGAAAATGTTTCTCCTCTCTGTTTGAGTGCGCTCACATGTATCCCATGGTTCCTCTTCCAGGAAAAGCTCACATTAAAGTGTCCTGGCAGGCTAATGTGAGCGTAATTCACAACCTCTGGACACACACATAAAGCCCCCTCTGATAGGTTGGAGCCTGTTTATTAGTCTTTCTCTATCTTTTACTAGTTTGGGCTTTAAGATTTGCACTTTGCAAAAATGGATAATTTGACATCAACTGTATTTTTTAACCTTTTGGACCTGCACTCCCACATTCCACCAAACAGAAGGCCGTTTGTTTAGGATCTTCCTGTACTCTTCTCAGCTACTTAATCATTCTTTTGTTTCCTTCCCAGGCTCTCTCCAGGCCACTCGCGCCTTGATGATAGTTGGAATCATCGTGTCCATCGCGGGTCTGGGCGTGGCCTGCATGGGGATGAAGTGCACCACCTGCGCAGGAAGCGACAAACTGCGCAAGTCTCGCATCGCCATGACGGGAGGCATCATCCTGCTAGTGGGAGGTGAAGACACAAAACTTCACCAACAGTGTACAACTTATACACAAATTGTTGTTATCAGGTGTAAATGTGCATTCCTATAATGTTAGTCTTTCATGCTAAAATCTCTCAAAAGGCTGGCCTTAGATATGGTAACTAAGTTCTGAATACAACTCACTGGTGCTCCTATGTTTGATTATATTTTATCATAAGACTGATTTAGCTTTGTTTCCCCCGTCTAATAGGAGTTCCTCTCTTTTCATTTACAATAACAGATTTTAAAAACAGAAGCAAAAAAAAAAATACAGTTTTGTAATGACTCATAATGACTCATAATAACATAGTAGTAATCTCGCATTAACATAGTAATAACACATTAATAACACTACACATTCATTATTTTTCAAACAAAATATACCATAAACAAGTCTTACAACATCTCATATTTAAAGTGGATTTCATTTCAATAAGTTTCTGCATTAAAGGGGCCTAAAGTATAACCCAGAATACAATTAAAATAAAGTGCACCTTCTAAAAGTTTTTCACGGAAATGCAAGAACTTTAAAAGACTTTAACAACACTTAAAATGTAGAAACACTGATAACTTTTAAACATGGTGTATTTAAGCTTCTTTAAGCCAAGGGCCAACCATATGTTTTTTGTTTGTTTGTTTGTTTTTAGGTTTGATATCGATACTGATTATCAGTAACCAAGGAGATTGTTTATCGATATTTGGAACCGATGTACATTAGCAGGAAAAAATTAAATCTTTGCATTAAAATATACAATGAGACGAACTCCAACACAAACCTTTATCAAAATGCTTTTGCTTACTTAAGTTTGACATTTGCACATAAAAGATTGCAGATGAAAGAGCACTTTTTTGACATTTTAATCTTCACTGTTGATTGGCTCTTACTAGTGACGCAGAACCAATCAGACAGGGCTGTGGATGTGACGTTGTTTGAGACCACAGAGTTGTAACTAAAAAGAGAGAGAGAGGCAGTGGCGTAAGAGCCACATTTAAATGACCTCATGTGATCAGAAATTGGTTAAAATTCAACAACACAATCACTGGAACAATACTGATCATCAGATCCAAGCTAAATTCAATCAGTGTTAATATGTTGACGTTAAACCAAATCAGAGTCTTTCCAATGTTCCTCACATTTAAATGGCAACCATATAATATGACAAAAGGTCCTATGTTCCCAAAGCCTTGTGTTCCCTCGTTCTGCACATGTTTTCTCCCATCATCCTGTACTCTCAAAGTTGTATGTTTTCCAGGTCTATAGTACATAACAGAACCACGAAAACATCTTCTACAGCTCTGTATTGGCTTAATACACCAAAAAGAAAAGAAAAAGGAAAAAAAGGGAAAGAAACAACCAAGATAACATGATGAAAGTTGTTTACTTCACAGTCACAGTTTAATGTGTGCTAACAGAATGGACCCTGGAAACATTCATGCACTACAAGCACAGCTTTTACCATATTCACTCGCTTAGTTCATCATTTTAGCGTGCTGAACTTTTCTCCAAAGCATGAAATACAAACTACAGCTAATGGAAATGCCACTAACATTTAAATCAAAGGAATTCTGATAATGCTAGTGTATCGAAAATGAAGGCATGACAGTTGTTATCACATTTCATCCCCTTTGGCGGGACGTTTTTATCAAATTTAATGTCTATCAGCATATGATAAGAAAAGTCACTCAGAAACTAATTGTGAGCCTCATGGTAGCACTAGAAAATCCAGGGATTCACTAAATTCAACCTGGAGCCGTTCATGTCTTTACAAAATGTATGACAATCCATCCAGTCCAAAAAGATAACTCATGCAAAAACTACAAAGACAAATGTAGGATCAATAGACTAAAGCAGCCACAGTATAGGCCATGACCTGTGGCGATCCGCTGAACAATACAACCGAGTTATGTAATTTCATCAGCTGCTTAGATCTCCTGCACATCATACAGTAGGTAGGAGGAGGTTTGACCCCCCCAAGTCTAAAAAAGGTTTCCTCCCACACATCTGCTCCGTCCCTCCAGAGGTCATTAGACTGAAAGAGACCAGAGCTTCTGGCTCCGACTCTAACATCTGAGGTCTGACAGGCTCCGAAGAGAGCAGAAACACTAAAAGCTAATTGTGCGGGAGTCAATAGATGGATGCTTAGCGAGTGGAAAGGGGATAAAAGCATGTCTGCTCTCTCTCTCACACGTTTTGATGATGTGCTGATGGACTGATTGATCTTTCCTGGTTGACTTTGTCTCTTCTCAGGGCTGTGCGCCATCGTAGCCTGCTCCTGGTTCGCTCACAACGTCATCCGGGCTTTCTATAATCCCTACACTCCTGTCAACACCAAGTAAGTCGCTGAAAATCACCTAGTTCTGTACTGACTGTTTAAAGAGCCCATAGTGTGAGTTTTGTATTTTCCCCTCTCCTTCAGGGTGTTTTAATCGCTGCTTTTTGTGCATGTGGAAAGCTCATTTGAAGTTCAGGGTTTTGAGAAACAGAGAGCTTCAGCAAAACACAGTATTAGATACATGAGAAACCTATATATGTGCATAATAAAGGCTCTTTAAGTGATTTTATGTGAATAAGCTGTATTATAAAACTTACCAAAATAAAGATTTGATTCAGATTTGCAGTCATGATAGAGTTAGATGAGAACTATGGATGTCGTTCTTATAGTTGTCTGTTCAATGGATGAAGCTGGAGCCAGGAGATGGTTACCTTAGCTTTAAAACTGGAAATACTGGGTTCTCCAGAGGCTCACTTTTTCTCTCTAAAGTTGACAAATTTAAACTTAAGTTAAAGCTATAGTTAGGGTTTGCTTTGTGCAAAAACCCAAATGTAAAATAACGCAAAAGAGGTCGCATGAGGACAAATCTGGTTAGTGGTTAAACCAATATACCTGATTACATGAGGGCTTTTAATATAACATGTACTATGATTGTCTAATACATTTGTCTGATATTAATTTCTTTTTCCTAGTGTATTAACATCATTGTTGTGAATTCTTTTGGTAATGATAATCATGTAGAGAAAATTTAACAGTCTGACAGCGCTGCTTAATATCTCTATTTTGTGTAGTTATGGAAATATCAAACATTTTTACTCCATTATGTCATGTAGCTATAGTAAGTCTTTACGAGTTAACACTTTACATAAATGTCAAAAAGTAGATAAAGTTAGCTCAACCACAAATTCATCAATTGTGCTTACACACTAATGAATAGTCATGATGACACACATGCCATCACATTACACACTGAAAGAGAGCATTCTGGATAAACTTGGATTTTTGCTGTAATACTTAAGTCAATTTTCCAATCAGTCTAACTGCATGAACATGGTTATAAATGACCTGTCAACACCATAGCTTCTCAGTTTTTTTGTAGCAGTGGGCTGTGTGTTTTTGTAGGTGTTGATCATAGCTCCTAATGGGACAGAAGTACCAGAAGAACTGAAACAAAAATCAGATTGTGAGACTTTATAATAATGGAAAAGGATCCAGGAAGATCAGTTACCATCTAGAAATCAGCTGAAGTACAGTTACAGGTAATCAGTAGGTACAGAATGAGCCACAGCAGAACTGCGCTGACCACCATCCTCAAATGACGCAACAGACATCGCCTTACTTGCTCTGAAAAACAGACAAGCAATTGCATTCAAATCATCTGTGTTGTATACTGTAAGATAAAAATAAAAATACTTTTAATTCAAACCAGGTTTGAGTTCGGAGCCGCCATCTTCATCGCGTGGGGCGGCTCTCTCCTAGACGTCCTGGGCGGCGCCATGTTAGCCGCCTCCTGTCCGAGGAAGAAGCAGGTGTCCAAGTACCCGTCCATGGCCGGCTCCCGCTCTGGCCCTCCCAGCAGCACTAAAGAATACGTCTGAGCCCGACGCCTGAGACTCCAAGAGAAGCTGAGGAAGAAAGTTCCCCCTTTTGTTGCAGCGTCAGCGAGGAGTAAAAACCGAAGATGTAGACAGAGGCAAGGAGAACTGGACTTTCTTTACTTTTTGGTCCAGGCAGGCCTTTGAAGACCCCCCTGATTATCATGCAGCACTCTCAATTGTTTCACGAGGGATGTCTCTCACCCCGTCCACACATTCCACAGTTGTTTACAAGTGGCCTTCACGAATACATTATAATTGGATCCCCTGACTTAATAGACAACCCTCAGGGTGTAACCTCTTGAATTGTAGCCTAAATGGTGGATTAAAGCCAACACTTGCACCCCCGTGTTAGAACCAGCGTTTATTAGCGTTTGCCATGTAATTGAAAGTAATCAATTGCAGTTTGGTGCTCATGCTGCAGCTCAGCCAGACCGACACGGGGTGACAATATGTGTTTAATATTAAGTGTTGGTTCTAAAATAGATGTTGCGATGAGCAGGGTGTGACTTCACACAAGGGGCTCAGTGTGTAGGGTGAGCGTCTCACACAGGCCTTTTACTACAGCACTCACCCACAGGCGCTGCAGCTCTTCATACCAGACTGTTACAAACCCTGCTCGGATATGAAATATTTGATCACTCAGTCATTATCCCTCCATTAGCTTCCATATCAGCTATTGTCACATTAAACCTGCCTCTATTTATTTTGCCAAGCGTAGGTTTTTTTTCCCGCTCCTGTGTAGAGTCGCATTATCGGTAGTCTGCTGAGGCCCTTTTGTAGCTTTCAGAGTCATATTTTTTATTAAGATGTTGTATGTCTCCTGTTTTTTTTTTAGATGTCATAGTTTTATACACTTGGCTCTTCTAGCAGATAATGGAAAATTGTTGTATGGATTTTTTTTTAACATGTCCATTAAATAATAAAGATACTGCAACATTGTTAATTGTGTGGTGGTCATAGGAGCTGGTTATAGAGAACAAAGAGCCCAGTTTATAAGCGATGTGGCAGAAAAAAAAGCAAACAGCTCCCCGTGCTGTTGGATTCTCATAATCCTCTTGCAATCAATAATATATACCCTATCTAAAAGGGAAAAAAAGCAAAATATTCACTCAAAACATTAAAAAAAGAACAATTATCTTTATCTTTTTGAGTGTTTTTACTCAAAAGTATCATTTTATCTGGAGCATTAGACCCTGGCTATGCAGAATTACGTATGTGCACATTTTGTGTCTTTGAAATCTAAAAATATGTTTATATGCATAGATGCCAGAGAAACACGAGCCTCAGATTTGGCAGGTTCCAAAGCGAAGTCATTAGCTAAAGACACCCTTTGGTGAAATGTAAGTTTTTGCTCTTGTTAACATGTCTGTATGGTGTTTTTTATTTGCTAAAAGACACATCGGGATGTAACTCAGCATTCAATGCCATGACTCAGCATTTTCACCTTGAAACTACTACGATGCTGACACGGATTCAGACCTCGGAGGTACCCTGGACATGTACAGAACACAACAAAGTAATCTTGTCTGCTTGCAGGGTGGATATTTTTGTGCCATTATTCTCCATCAGACTTGATTTCCAGACTTCACAGATCCAATCCAGTGGAAGCAACGGTTACATCACAGGCATTTCCAGGCACTTTAAAATAAGTAACTTTAATACTCAAAGGTGAGTTTTTAGAGGTTTGATCAACAACCACAGAGGAACTTTAATGAACCTATATTCAGATACAGTATCATTAAAAACAGACCATCTAAAAAGTGCTGGGCTGCTTCTCTAAATGCATTGTCGGGTTGTTTGTACTCAGTCAAAGGGTTTGTGGGTTCATTGGCAGCTGAACACCTGGTTGGGTGAGTCTGACTCAGCTGCTGGATCATTCATTTTACCGCTCGTCTGTTCTAGATCCTTCCTACACATCGTGGGAGAGATTTCAAGGTAGGTGATTATGAATGCTTAACCTGTGTTTTTAATAAGTTATGTAAACAGCAAAATCGTAAAAAAAAACACAGCAGTGGAAGGGCTAGTTGTTTTTAGTCTGCAACATTTATCAATCATCTATTATTAATCTCGATTCTCATCATTCAGTATCCAACACGGCAACGCATCTGCAGGTTTAATGCTATAATAAAGTTCACCTGAAAGTAGCTGCTCCACTTTTATCTTTACATTCGCAGCCAACGTTACAAAGCATTAATTCACGGGTAAGGTGGCGTTTTTAACAATATGTCAAGTGTAGCAAAAACCTGCAGCAAGTAAAAGTATTCTGAAGCTAGAATGTGACATGTGAAGTGCAAATAATAGAGCACACTGAAGGCTATGTGCATTATAAGTTACCCCGTAAAAGATAAATGTTTTTGTACAGGTTTTGTGAAATTCTAATCAACTCAATGTGCATTCCAGCTTTGTGAGTTTACATCCGTCATGTCAGGAAAGGTAACCACACTGCAGCTTGGAAAGAAAACACCCACCTGCTGCTGTCAGAATGGACGAGATCATCATCTTCGGGTGACTGTTTATTATATGTACTTCATGTGATTAAACAGTGTGATTTTGAGTATAATGTTGTTTTCTGATGACTAAATAAATTTTAGATGTTTTTTTATAGAGACTCTCGTTGTCAGGTGGTTCCATTGATAACAATGTGTTTCCTGTACGGTGAACTCACATTTGCACCAGCGCTCACAGTGGAACACTTACAATCATGCGTAATAACTACATTTTATGATGCTTATTACAATTATTAGACATTAAAGTAGGAATGAGACAGTAACTAACGATCTATCTCATATTGACCCAGTGGTGGGATTAATGCTAAGTTATTATTTAACACAAGTGTCTCAAAAATACAGATATTTAAGCGTATTATCTTTCCAAATACATTTTACATTGGATCTCATCACCACTACAAACACCTTACAGAGATGAAAAAAGTGATAAATTTAGTTCAGCAGTGATGCGAGCTGACTTCACCGACAAGCTCACTTTCTTTTCCAGACATTTTTTTGGAGATATTTTTTGTTTCCTCTTCTGAAGTGCTTCCTTTATTGAGAGGAAAGAGCTGCTAAATCAATCCGATGCGACCTTTTAAATGCGGCTTTATACTGGTTTTAGAGTTAAAAGAGGAGCATATGTTCACACAATAAGAAGAAACATATTTATTTTTTAGCGGATATAAGAGCTGCACCCGGTGTTTGCACTTTCTACAAACTGTGTGATGGATGTGTGAAATAAGAGAACCGTGTGAAAAAAAAAAAACACAGCAAGGCAGGTTTTGAAGTTCGAAACTGAGAGACGCCAAAGCACGAAGCGAAACAACAACAAATTCCACAAAGATTCAGATTTTTATTTCCCGAGATGCATTATGAAAAGTTCCATGCAAAAAAGGTAACCACAACCCAAACAGCAAATCTTTTTGAGTCAAGAGAATGAGCTGTGAAATGCAGTGCTTCCATGAAGCCAAAAATAGAACCAGTAACAATTTCACAGCCGACAACGTAACATGACATCAGCACGAGGATTTACAGACAATCGTGTGTCTCCATCCGACACTGCGATCTGTAGAAAATCCAGAAAAACCGTGAGATTGTCTCAGCAGTCACAGCGAATCAGATTGTTTTGTTTTTATGATCTCATGCTGCAATTATAAAGTTTGACGCATCTTTAAATAGTCCACCTGAACGACGCCGTGCGGGTGCAGTTCAGATTAGTGCTTCACAAATAAACACAATTAGGTTTCGCTCTTTATAACGGGTCAGCATCAGAATCTATCTTAAATATCAACCTGATGTCATTTTTTGAACATCTTTTCTCACAGTCTTGTGGCCTGCTGGGGAAAAAAATAACAACCCTGCCTTTGAAAACAAAACAAAAGCTCTGTAAATCTGTTGTTGTTTATGATATTTTAACCGCTGAGTCGGCAGCTCAAAGCCAACAATGAGCTCGGGGAAAACGCTGACTCGGCAAAAAAAAAAAAGAAACAGTGGTTTTGAAATACTACTACATAGCCCTTAAATAACAGGATACCAGTTACGTGTTCTGATGCTTCAACAGACTTCATGCATAGAATTCTGCAACATGTCACTGCACATAACAGGCATTCCCACGAAAAAAAGTGCACCATTTGGAAACGTAAGAAATCTGAAGCGAATATCCAAAACAAGTAAAAAACACGTAGAAGCCATAACAGCCAACGACAAAAGTGTCTTTTGAACAATAAATAATTAGCGGCAGCTGTTTGTTTCCTGTAAATAGCGAGCTTTCATCCACTGGATAATAAGTACACCGCTTGGATCAGCGCGAGAGGAGAGAATGATAGTCATTGCACGACCGAAGCTTAATGTTTCACCTGTGCGATACACATTTAACAGGCTTGTGTTCCCTCGCACGACCAACCCACGGACAATCAGTAACCCTTCAGCGGTAAACACGCAGGCGGGAGGCTGCTCTTCATCTAACCGTTTGCTCAGTGCAACTTTAGAAACGTAGCCCTTGTTTAAGAAGCTCTGAAAAATATAGACACTTTCTCCAAATCATCCTCAAAGTCCTGACAGTCTACGACCTACCGAGGTATAGAGTAGAGAGCGATGCAATACAATTCATTCACAGTCTGACCAAAGGTAAGTTAAATAGACACTATGTACAATCAGGGCCCAGGCTTCAGTTGGCGCTAAATGAGCCACTTTTTGAGCCATGATGAGCCGTCAGAAGCTTCAGTAGGACACTTGACAGGACCGAGGCCAAGATCACTGACTTGAGGGGGAGGTTTGGCGTCCCGGGGGGGGGGGATTTCTTTTTTTCTTTTGTTTTGGCACTTCTCGGTGAAGTTTAGGAGATGGGCGACAGGGATACAGGACACTGACCGTTGTTATTCATGATGTCATCCAGGTCTTCGTCGTCCAGGTCCACTGAGGAGGGAAAGGGCAGAGGTCAGGAGGGTTTGCTTCTAGATCAAGAATGCATCGAGAATTCCAGATACCCAAAGCGGGTTTGAAAGACGTGTTGTTGTTAAGAAAAATGCCAAATTGGCACATTTATCAGAGCTACAAACTGTAAAAAAAAACATAAAATTGGCTAATTTTCAACTTTCCAACAGTTCTTCCACTACGCATCTGGGACGTTTGTTGGGAAAATTATCCAATTTTAAATGTAAAATTGCGATATTTCAACAAAATCACTTTAAACTTATTTGGATAAAGCAGAATCTGTCAAAAACAACAACAACAACAACAAGTGAGAAGCCATTAACTGCGACTAACAGTCACCTGACAAAAATCCAGCAGCTCTACTGCTGAACTCGGCTGAACTGCAGGCTGTGTTAATAAAGGAGATCAGAAAAAAGTACTGAAAATGTTCTACATGTGGAGTCCATGTTTTTTCAATTTTTGAAAAAAAGTGATCAAAGAAATTCAACTTTCATTGTTTTGTTTTTTTTCATTTATGGCATTAAAACTTTTCTACACGACACAGAAGATATTTTTGAGTTCTTTCTACTCCTGCCATTGTTTTGCGGCTTCATCTTTATATTGCAGTAAAAACTGAGCCCAAGAAAACTGTCAGAGAAGCTGCTTAGAGTTCAAAGGTTCACACAGGGTGAATAGAGTCAGTTCTCTTAAAAGAAATCATTCTAGGAAATAAACTTATTTGCTTTGTTTCCGGGACTTAAATAAGAAGATTTGACTTATGACTGTCTGCGCTATATGAAGCTACTTCTAGTGGGTAGCTTAGCATAACGAGTGGAAATCGGGGAAAACAGTTAGCCCGACTCTGTCCGAAGCTTAAAAAAACCCCTCCTTCCAGGACCTCTTAATCTTGTTTGACAGGGGCTTACGTGCTGGACTTTCTTGGCCGGGAGGAACGATGAGGACAAGACGCTGCTCCCGGCCAAGTGATAGTCACATTTTACCCCTCATAAAACCACAATGAGCCATTTTAACACTCCGCTTTT